TTGGTTAAGGAAACTGGGATGTTTAGCTAGATGACTTATGTCAGCTCTAGAAGAATCATTTGGGAGAGCTTGGGAAAATAAATTAAAAAAAAAAAAAAATTCTACTCCCTGGAGATAATTTGGTGGTTTGGGGCAGGGCTTCGAATTGGTTCAAAATCTTTAGTCATGGCCAACAGAAACAAGGGCAGTGTTCATGTTGCATAGCAACCGAATCTCTTGCAATTCAGATTTTGACCCAAGTAGCAAAGATGGTGGCAGACTAACACATTCAAACAGTATGATTGGCGGCCATCTTTGAGCAGGGCGCTGCTGCTTGTTTCCTACATAGGTTAAAATCTGAAGTGCAAGTGATGTGATTGCTATACAACATGTAGGCCATGACTGGACATTACAAAGTGCATCATTTGGGAAAGGTCTGCGTAGACAGACATTTGAAAAGTTTTCCCTGTGGTCTTGATGTGCAGCCAGGTATGGGCACAGTGGGCTGGGTCAGTGCTCCTCAAACTTTAAAACAAAACAAAGAACAACTTTAATGTGTAGATGAATCACCAGGGGAGTTCTTGTTAAAATACAGATTCTAATGCTGTAGGTCTGGGTGTGGGCTCTGAGAGTGTGCGTTTCTAACATGCTTCTAGGTGATGATGATGTTGGTCCAGGGACCACACTTTCAGTAGCAAGGGGTTATGGTCACTTAGTGTAGATTATTATACAGAGGATAAGCAGTGACTGTGATGGAAATTGTGGTAGTTAAAGTTGTGTGTTAACTTGGCTGGGCTGTAGTTTAGAGTGGCTGGGCAGTGGGATGTAGTTATTTCCCATGATGAGACTGGTAATCAACTCCATGGTGGAATCTTCTGTGAGCAGCTGAGTAGCTGCCTTTGGGGTGCAGCCTGCTTCCAGTATAGGAGGAGAAGCTTTGGGAAAGGTCTTGAGCTTTTGGTACATCTGTATCCTGTATATGGCTGAGTCTTCATCTCAGTGGCCTGCCACGTTGCCTGCTGATCTTGGGACTGTACCATTTTACTTGTCGATCTTAGATTCGTTGGCCTCAGCAGCCAGCAGCTGCACTAGTCAGAAAAGGCTTCCAGCTCTAGTGGGCCTAGAATAGGAGGCAGAACTGCAGCCCAAGGTTGAGGGGCTTCACCCAGCCCCTACAGCTGGCACTTTGAACTCAGATTTTTAGCCTCACTGTAAGAGAATAAATCCCTATTTGTTAAAGCCATCCACTTGTGGTATGTCTGTTATAGTAGCACTGGAGAACCAAAACAGAGGGTGGCATTAAGCAAGGTCCCTTCTGATCTTGACAGTTTTAACGAGGTCACTTAAGCTTGAGAGCTGAATTAATTTAGGCAAGTGTGTGGTGAAGTGGAAACAGCATTGATTGGAGAGTTAGACAGATCTGAACCCTATATCCATTGTTTACTATCTGGGTGACCTTGAACAAGTGATTTCAGCTTTTTGAATCTCTGTTTTCAATCAGCAAAATAGATACAATACAATCTCCCTAGCAGATAAACATTAGAGAAAATGTGTTTTAAGGACTTAGCATAGCTCTAGACACAGAACAGTATTTAGAAAAGTGGTGCTTGTTATTCTAGTTTATGCTCTTAGAATCCTTTTTTGTTGGAAGACCAGAACTGCGATAAATATGGAGGAAAAGTCCTGTTAGGAACTCTTAGTTAATTGTGCATGAGAGTTGACTAACTTCTATTTTATAGCCAAGAGAAACCTGTGATGGTGGTTGTTACCTCCTATGGAGTCGGCCCCTAACTTATGGCAACCCCATGCACACCGAGATCGGACTGTTATATCTGTAGGGTTTTCATTAGCTGATTTTTTAGAAGGAAGCCTTTCTTCTTAATCTGTCTCACTCTGTAATCTCTGCTAAAAACCTGTTCGGCGTCATAGCACCACATAAGCCTCCACTCCAAACAAGTGGTGGCTGTGCATAAGGTGCATTAGTTAGGACTTGAACCTTATTTTCCTGCATGGAAGGTGAGAATTCTACCACGAATCACCACTGCCCCAAAACCAGTTGTTGTAAAGTGGGTTACAACTCATGGCAACCCCATGTTTGTCAGAGTAGAACTGTGCTCCATCAGGTTTTCAAAAGTTGATCATTTGAAAGTAATTGCCAGGTCTTTCTTCTGAGGTACCTCTGGGTAGACTTGAACCACCAACCTTCACTTAGCAACTGAGCATGTTAACAGTTTGCACCATCCAGGGACTCCAGCTATGGTTACTTAGGTAGAAATTATCTTGGATGAATGAAAAATACTTGTTCCTGTCTGCCCCTGCATAATTAACTTTTGCAGTCATTTTAAGTCTTAACCTGATGAAATGTGACAAATGAGTCCTTGAGTCAGACAAATTACTGAGTCTAATATTGTGAACTGTTGTTATAATCCTTTCATAGATTGTATTTCAGATCTAGTGTCTTTGAGCTCAGTCTTCTCTGCCTCTTTCTCCTCCTGTAGAAAACTTCCATGAAGGCTCAGATGAGGCTAGTGTACCTTATGCCACTCTAGGCATATATTAGGATTTGTCTCTGCCTCTTCTCCTCTTCACTGCAAGCTTCTGGAAGGCACGGGGCCTTTTGTAGCCCCACAGCTTAATACAATGTCTGCACTTATTTAGTGCTGAACAAATTATTGTTGAACTGATTGTAAGACATGGGAAGTTATCAAAGAAATCAGAATCTGAGCACTGTCAGAGAAGACTTCCTGGAACTAGTGATGCTTGAGCTGAGACTTAAGAAGAAATATGGGTAGGAGGAGGTAGAGTGGCTGGAAAACATGGTGCATTCAGGGAACCAACTGAATGGAAGAGCTGAGCATAGGGGGGCATCTGGGGCCATAGCTGGTGAAGCTGGAGAGGCGGCAAGGGCTAGAGTGTAAGAACTTGCATGGCAGCTAAGGAGACTGGATTTTATCTTGAGGATAATGGGAGTGCAGTGAAGGATATTAAGCAGGGATGTGTGTACGGCGGATTGAAAGCTAGTATTAGATACAAGGAGATGGGTTAGGAGTTGTATACATAAGCCAGGTAATCAGATTCCAGCTGGTTACCTTCAGTGCCTTTTCTGGTCCTAACTCTTTTTCCCCATACCAGAGTGTTTTTGCCTGACCTGCCTCAAGCAGTGCTTTGGCTGTGGAATGGAAGCAGACCTTGGAGTATTACCTATCTTAGCCTGTCTCTAAGGACATGTGCCTGGCCTGTTTTAGGCAAAGGTACAGACACCTTGGTTCCATGGAATGAGTTGGACAGCAAGAGGCCATGGGTAAATGTTTGAACATTTACTGGATTTCAGTACCAGATCTCCTGTGTCCTACCTATGGGGAAATTGGAGAATTATGTGATCTTTTTGAGCCTTGTCCATAAAATGGAGATAATACTTACCTTTTAGTGCTTCTGTGAGCACTAAATTAGAGATGATGACAATGAAAATAATAATGACCATTTACTAAACGACATCTGTGTGGCAGACGTTAAAGCATGTATAAACACCAAAAACCATGTTTGGTTCATGATACCCACCCATTGCCATTAAGTGGATTCTAACTCATAGTGACCCTATAGGACAGAGGAGAACTGCCCCATAGAGTTTCCAAGGCTGTAAATCTTTACGGAAGCAGACTGTTTCATCTTTCTCCTGCAGAGTGGCTCATGAGTTCAAACCACTGACCTTTTCGTTAGCAGCCAAGTGCTTTAACCACTGAGCTCCTTTTGGTTCATGATAGGTACTCAATACATGTTACATCCCTCCCCTCACCTCCCACTGATCATTTCCTTTCCTGAAGTTTGCCAGTGGCAGACAGATTATTGCTTAGTACTGTCTTCCAAATACTTCACTTATTCCCATAGGTTGACAGAGAAAACAATAAAGATTTAATTTAAGCTCAGGAAGCAATCAATTAATAATTACCATCATCAATTCATTAAGGAAGTATTTGTAGCTTAGAAGTCAACTGTATGTTAACCAAATTCTAATGTAATACAGTTAGCCCTAGAACTTCATTTTTAGGTTCAAGGTCTTAGACTTTCTACAGAAATCAAGCAGAGTTGCTGCCTGGAATGTGCTATTGTTCATGTCCTAGTTTGACATTTAGTGTCCATCTTCTGACCAAATAATCAGAATAAATACCTGAATTCAGCTCCATTTAATGGACAACATGGAATATTGTAAGGTTTTTTTAGGGTTGGGATGAGTTTTGTTGTGCCTTCCCTCGGCCTGACAGGCTTCTGATCTGATACTGGGCCCTAGATTTATCTGGAAATAAATGAAAGTGCCTCCCAGTCTTGAGAGCCTCTCTTTTTCCTTCTTTGTAGGTTTTAGGTAACTCAGATCCTCTTTGACAATATAAAGCACAGATTAAACCTAACTCTGTATCAATCCCAGGATTATGGGCGCAGGAGAATAAATCTTAGGTTGACTATCAGATGATTTTACTTAAATCTCCTTCTGAAGGAAGCAGGGGTGGGAAAGGCAGTTCTAAGTATGGGTTATTGTTTATTCCTGGCTCCCAAAGATCAATTCTTATGAGTATCACAGCCCATAGTGCACATGTACATGAGTGATTGTTTCTGACAAGCAGGTGAGTCACTGACTGCAGTGATTACACTCAAATTTGCTGTAGGTTTGGGCTCAACCCTCATCCCCAGTCTGTAGAGCGTAAGTCCAGGAAAGCAGGACTCAGAGTCATTTAAATGGTCATCTGCTTATCCGTGTCTACAATGTCAAGTCAGAGGGTAGCTTATCCCTGGAGAACAGCATAAAGCTAGAAAATTTTGTACTATGTTCCAATGTTGGACCATACTACTTTCTTTCCTCTTTCTTAAATCTTAAAATCTCCTTTTCTCTCTGGGCATAGATTACCTACCATGGCCCAATCTCAGATGCTCCCTTAGATGCACCCAATCTCAGATGCACCTTAGAGGGCGCAGGGTAGGAGATAAGACTAATATGAACCTTTCCCTTATTTCTACCTTACATTTTCCAGCAACAGCTACAGGCATATGTGGCCTGGGTGAATGCACAGCTGAAGAAGAGGCCAGCGGTGAAGCCAGTGCAGGACCTGCAACAGGATCTCCGGGATGGGGTGATCCTGGCCTACCTCATCGAGATTGTTGGTCAGTTGGTCGTGGGCTCTGATAAAGCAGAATGTGACCTTCTTTATCCTCCATATGCCTTTCAGAGCGGGTTGTTTCTTCTTTAAAATATATGGAAATGGAAGTAAAGAAAACGTAAAATACTTTCCCAAAGCAAATTAGTTTATTTATGAGTCAGTAAATATTGTGTGCCAGGCACTGTATTATGCTTTGGGGGTATGTTGATGGGCACAGTCAGTGCTCTCAAGAGCCTCCCAGTATAGCTGGAAAGACTGGAAAAAGAAGTCAATTTCATTAGTGTACTGATACTCAGATGGGATCTCATAGGACAGATACCCAACTCGGTTTTACGAGATTTAGGGATGGCTTGTGAGAATTGATGTCTAAACCAAGGCCAGAAAGGGAAATAGTAGCTAGGCAGAAATTAATATCACATGCAAGTAAAGTTTTGCTGAAAATAACTAAAAAATGGTTGCAGCAGTGCACAGACAGGGAATTGCCAGAAATACAAGCTGAATTCAGAAGAGGACATGGAACAAGGTATCTCACTGCTGATGTCAGATGGATCTTGGCTGAAAGCAAAGGATGCCAGAAAGATGTTTACCTGTGTTTTATTGACTATGCAAAGACATTTGACTGTGTGGATCATAGCAAATTATGGATAACATTGTGAAGAATGAGAATTCCAGAATATTTAATTGTGCTCATGAGGAAACTGTACATACACCAAGAGGCAGTTATTTGAACAGAATGAGGGGATGCTGCATGGTTTAAAATCAGGAAGGGTGTGTGTCAGCGTTGTATCCTTTTACTGGACTTATTTTGTCTGTATGCTGAGCAAATAATCCAAGAAGATGGACTATATGAAGAAGAATGCGGCATTAGGATTGGAAGAAGATTCATTAACAACCTGTGATATGCAGATGACACAACTTTGCTTGCTGAAGGTGAAGAGGACTTGAAGCACTTACTGTTGAAGATAAAAGGCTACAACTTTCACTATGGATTGCACTTCAACATAAAGAAACCAGAAATCCTCACAAATGAACCAATTAACATCATCATAATAAATGGAGAAAACATTGAAATTGTCAAGGATTTCATTTTACTTGGATCCACAATCAACACCTATGGTAGAAGTAGTCAAGAAATCAAATGACATATTGCATTGGGGAAATCTGCTACAAAAGACTTCTTTAAAGTGTTGAAGAGCAAAGATGTCACTTTGAAGACGAAGATGTCCCTGACTCAAGCCAGGGTATTTTCAGTAGTCTCATAAATATGTGAGCGCTGGACAGTGAATAAGGAAGACTGCAGAAAAATTGATGCATTTGAATTGTGGTGTTGGCAAAGAATACTGAAAATACCATGGACTGCCAGGAAAACCAAAAAACAAAACAAACAAATCTGTCTTGGGCAAAGTGCAGTCAGAATGTTCTTACAAGTTTCTCCCAACCTCCATCTTGTCAGATCCAGTACCAGGCCAGACTTCATCTCACTTACTTTGGTCATGTTGTCAGAAAGGACAGGTCCCTAGAGAAGGATATCATGCTTGGTAAAGTCAAGGATCAGCAAAAAAGGGGAAGACCCTCAACAAGATGGATTGACACAGTAGCTATGATGATGGGCTCAAGTGTGGCAATGATTGTGAGGATGGTGCAAGACTGGGCAGTAGTTTGTTCTGTTGTACATGGGGCTGCTGTGAGTCAAAACCAACTCGATGGCACCTAACAACAATGATACTCACAAGGAGCCATGGTAGCACAGTGGTTAAGTGCTTCACTGCTGTCCAAAAGGTCTGTGGTTCAAATCCACCAGTGGCTTTGTAGAAGAAAAGACCTGGCAATCTGCTCCCCCAAAGATTATAGTCTAGGAAACACTATGGGGCAGTTTTACTCTGTCATATAGAGTTGCTATGAGTCGGAATGAACTTGATGGCACACAACAACACAAGACTCACTACAGCAGTGTTTCATGAAAGTGCTTTTACTCTTGAAGACCTGGAATTGTTGCTATCTTTCTTACTAGATGGTACCAGAACTTTGTTTCCACAGCATCTGTTCATAGCTCTTATCATTTGTCTCATTAAATGGTAATTATTTGTGGTGATTAGTTTTTTAATTTATCTATCTCCTATAAATTCTGAGCTGTTTAAGAAGAGGTTCAATATCATTTTTTTCCTGTTTTTACAAACCCTGACCAAGTGCCTGGCACATAATAGGTATTTAAACATTTATTGTTACCTTAGTCAACTGACTGGCTTGGAGTCCTTGAGGGAGTGGGGCTTATGAGAGGTGTGGAAGAAGCCAGGTTTGCAACAGGCAACTTATCTATGAATACCTCATTGGGATAGTCATGGATCCATCACGGTATTAATTTATAATGACAAGAGTTATAGCAACTGGTATTTATTGAACAGTTTCTATCTCTTTTAGTTTAATATTATTTAACCATTAAACCCTTGGGAGAGGTAGTAGTATCCCCATTTTCAGAAAACTTAAAAGAGAGAATTGATATAAATTCATTCATTCATTGAGCATTTAGTATGTGCCAACCATTGTGCTAAACATGCTGGTGTGATTGATTTTTGATATGTATACTACTCTTTCACTATTTTTATGAAATTTAGGGAAATTAAGCAACTTTCCAAGGTCACATAACTGTAAGTGGGAAAGCAGAGGTACAAAGCTAGATCTGCTTTAATTCCAAAGCCCGTTTTAAACATTTAAATTTAATATTTATTTGTTATAGGTTATACTTAGACTGGTGGGAAATCAGAAGGTTCAAAAGAGTAAAAAGTCTCTCTGTCCCCTGCTCCCTACCAGCTACCTGTTCTATGTTAGCAGTTGCATGCATTTCTTCCCAGAGATATTCTGTGCATATAAGAGCAATTATGAATATGTATCTTATTCTCCCAAAGCTCAGGTTCTTAAACTTTGCATTCTATTATGACTTTGCTATGTAAAAAAAACTTCCTTAGTAGATGTGTCTGTACTCAACGAAGTTAATTCCTTATTTCCTATACTCTCTTTTCCCCAGCCTCAGCAGGCTTTTGATCCTGCTACTCCACTGAGAAAGGAGCTCTAGTGGTGTAGTGGTTAAGGCATTTGGCTGCTAACAAATGGTCAGTAGTTTGAACCCACCAGCTGCTCTCCAGAAAAAAGATGAGGCAGTCTGCTTCCATAAGAATCTACAGCCTTGGAAACCCAATGGGAGTGTCTATGAGTCAGAATTGACTCAGTGGCAGTGAGTTTGACTCCACTGAAACTGCTATCATCAAGGTCCCAACCTCCATCTTGTCAGATCCAGTACCAGGCCTTAGGCCTTATTTTATCAAATTTAACAGAACTTGATATAATTGATTACTCCCTCTTCTTTCAAACATTTTCTTTACTTGGTTTCCAGGACCTTGTAGGCATCTGCTTTTCCTTCTACCTCACTGGCTCATTCTTTCTGTTTCCTTTGCTAGCTTTTATTTTCCTTCCTGGCCTCTATATGTTGGCAGCCTCCAGGTTCAGTCCTTAGCCTCTTGTATATTCTCTATTCCTAAGTGCTTCCTTCCCAAATTTGTATCTTTAGTCTTAAATTTGTCTTTGAGTTCTAGACACACTTATCCACTCCCTTCACAATCTCTACTTGGATGTGTAATATATAACTCCAACTTAACACATCCTAACCAGAACTTTTGAGTGTTGTCCTCCACCAATATCCTTTATCTCCAGGTCCTTTCATTTTAGTAACACAGCACACTACAATTTACCCACTTAGATTATTCTCACTATCTCTTGCCTTGGCTATTTGCATGGTCCTTCTAAATGATCTTCCTGTTTCTTTGCCTTATAGTCTGTGTCTGCACAGAGTCAACTTATAAAACCTAAGTCAGATCATGTCTCTCCCTTGCTTAAATACTCTATTGGCTTCCCATTACACTTAGAATAAAATTCAGTGTCCTTATATGCACTAAAAACCCCTACAGGACTTGAGCTTGCTTGTCTCTCTGGCCTCTCATAGGACTCGACTCCTTATTTACTCTACTCCAGCCACACTGGTCTTGTTGATTTTCCTCACAGAGCTCATTACTACCCTGTGGTTTTGTAACTGCAGTTCCTCAGTTGGAATGCTTCCTCTTCAAATCTTAACATCCATTACTTTATTCAAATCTCTGCCCAAATGTATTTTCAGAGAAGCCATGATCATTTTACTTTATTTTTCCTCATAGCACTTATCTCTTCCTGAAATTACACTAAGCATTTACTTGTTACTTTGGTCATTATCTGTCACCCCTAGTAGGATGTAAACCATGTGGGAAGGGGCTTTGTCTCGTTCACTGCTGTCTCACTGTGCTTGGCACACAGTGGGTGCTCAATGAAATATTTGCTGTATGAATAAGTGTATACATAGTAGTTTCATAGGTATACATCTGAAAATTTTGAAGGCTCCAAAAAGGGCTTTCATTTTCCTATTTCCCATTCAAATTACAAACTCACTTGCATATTTATATATGTTGTTATGTTGTTGTTATGTGCCGTCGAGTCGGCCCCGACTCATAGCGACCCCTCCTTGGGTTTCCGAGGCAGTATCACTACGGAAGTAGGATTGCCCAACCTTCCTTTATATATAATGTTAGTGTTTACCTCAAATACCCCCTTCCTCTGTGTATGAGTCAGATCCAACTCAACAGCAGTGAGTTTGGTTTTTTTGGGGTCTGTGTATGAAACTTTGATGATGATTCTTTCTATAATTTCATACTTTATTCTCTCCTAATAGCAGGAGAAAAGCTGAGTGGAGTACAGCTGAGTCCCAATAACCAACAGGAGATGAAGAATAATGTAGAGAAAGTGCTACAGTTTGTGGCCTCAAAAAAGATTCGTATGCACCAGACTTCTGCTAAAGGTCAGTACCTCATGACATTCTTGGTGGGATACTTGGGATACTCATGTCTGGTCCCCATGTGAAGAGGTGGTTAAGAGGTGGTTGCCAGCCTCAGAACAAACTTTGGTTTATAGGCAAGGGTTCTGGGGAGACTGGAGTAGAATGAGTTCCATGGCCTCATACCATTTTTCCATTAAAAAAAATTTTCCCCTTAGGGTGAGTGATGATCAAATTCTGAGTGCTTTGGAAACCTGAGTAGAGACAGAAATTCTCTATTCATTTCAACTGAATTCAGGTTTGCCCTGAGTGTGTGTAGGAAAATGAATGGTTAGAGAAAAAATTATATAAGTGGGACATTAATTTTAGAATGTCTCACTTAAGTCATCAAAAAATGAAGATGGATTACATTTTCAAGTTCTTTGGGTTTCATGACTGAGTATTATTTCAAACCATCATAGCCTACATTTTTTTCTATCAGGAAAACTTTTTATAGCATTTCTTGGACATCACAGAATGTTCCATGCAGGATGACCTCTGCACATGGCTTCTCCTATTGCCACATTGCTAGCTAGCCAGGTGGGTTTGCCAGAGGAGGACTTTTCCCAGTCCATTTTGAGCCCAGACTGCAAAGAAGAAACTTTATAGACATCCTCAGAGGATACAGCCTCCCTAGTCTTCTTACTGTTTCTGCTTCTGGTTCAGCTTCAGTTTCTGGGCAATGCCCAGGAGTCTGATAAGAATCGGGGCAGGAGGGAAGATCAGTGCTCTTTGGCCTGGATCACTCAGGTGGGGCAGATATCGACCATGGTAGTACCCTGTGAAAGGTAGCAGTCACTCCTTTTCTAAGTCTTGCATATTTTAAAAGGCCATGAAATTAAAAAATAGAATTTAACCGATTTCCTTATATTAACTTTCACCAGACCTATCACATTGCTTTCTACCTGTATCCCTCTCCTTTTCTAGGCCAAAATTTAAAGTGCTGTAGTATCTCTGATCTGGTCCCCACATGAAGTGGGCTTGGGGATCTGGTCCATTAAAGTAGGCTATTTTGAGAGAACAGTGCCATTCAGGACAGCATTGCCTTTTACCTGGAGAAGTACAGCAGCCTCCTAACTAGTCATGCTGCATAATTTTTGTTCCTCACCTGTCTGCTCTCCACACTGCAGCCAGAATGACCTTTCTGCACATGCTACTCCTTTGCCTTTAGGATAAAATCCAGTGTCCTTCATGTGGCTTAACATGACCTGACCTCTGAGTCATTTCCCTGTGGCCTCCCCATGTCCTGATCTCCCCTTGCATACTGTGTTCTAGCTATGCTGACCTTCAGTTCCTCTACCCGGTGGTCCATAGCTACCATATTGGATGGTGCAGCTCTAACATACCATGCTTTCTTTCACCTCTGACCCTTCACATCTCCTGTTCCCTCTTCTCAGAATACTATTCTTTTCCCTTCACTTCTCTCTTCCAGTGAACTACTATTCATCAATCAAGTTATAGTCCAGAACTTGTTTCCTCTAGAAATCCCTCTCTGGGCCTAAAGACTGGACAAGATGCCTCTACTCTGAGTTCCCAAAGAATCCTGCCCTTTTCCTATTGTAAAATGTTCTTGTACCTTTTAATATTCTGTCTCCCTTGTTGAACCAAGTTTTGTCAGGACAGAGACCTTGACTGCCTGGATTACCTCTGTCACTAGCAAATAGGTATATAATGACTGAGTCTGCCTCTCTGGTCTTTTCTGTCCCAGATATTGTGGAAGGAAACCTGAAGTCTATCATGAGGCTGGTGCTTGCCTTGGCAGCTCATTTCAAACCTGGCTCTAGCAGGATGGTAAGCCAAGGACGGGACTCCAGCGTCCCTCTGCAGAGTCACCAACCTCACAGTGCCACTGCTGTGGCCCAGGGAGCAGCTGCTGCTCTGGCCGATGTGTGTCATGATATGTCACGGTCAGGACGGGATGTCTTTCGATACAGACAGAGGTAATAGAAAGCTGGGGATGGGGAAATGATCCTTTCTCTGGTATTTCTTCTCATAACTGATACAGTGCAGTAGATGGAAATATCACCCAAACAGCCCCTATACTGCAGAAAAGAACATGGGGTGGAAATGGTGAAGGCACTCCAAAAGAGAAAAGCCCTTTCTTCTAGAGATGTTCATTTTGCAGTTAGCAGAAATTAAAGGAATCATGTGAAAGTTTTTTACTCAGAATTTTAAATATATGCTTTTTGTACTATGTGTTTTCTTCACTGGGAGATGTGTGGGGGGGGCAGTGTTCCAATTCATCTGGGGGAGTCTCTACCCTGGAATGTACCCAGAAGGCCAGGCTGTCCTGGAGAGTCATGGCAGGAAATGCTTTGGGGTTTGTGTGTCTGTGAAGGAGAGCGTGACCCCAAGGTGTTGCGAATTGGTGAAATTACTTGTTTTTGTGTCTATCTTCCCTACTAGTTTTTTTAGAAAATATAATTTATTTTAGTTTCTGTTGTTGCTATCAGGAGCCCTGGTGGAGCAATGGTTAAAGTGCTCAGTGGCTAACCAAAAGGTCAGCTGTTGGATCCACCAGTTGTACCGTTGGAGAAAGATGTAGCAAACTGCTTCTGTAAAGCCTGCATATAGCCTTGCCAACCTGATGGGGCAGTTCTACTCTATCTTGTAGGGTTGCTATGAGTTGGAATTGACTCAAAGGCAAAAGGTTTTTTTTTGGGGGGGGAGGAGAGGGTTCTTGTTGAGAATATGCAGAGCAGAACATATATCAATTCAATAGTTTTTTTTTTTTTAGGATTTGGGTGAAGATTTACAGAGTAAATTCACTTTTCATACAGCAGTTCACATATACTTTGTCTCATGTCATTGACCAAAAT